GTTGTTATTAGTAGGGATATTATTATCGTCATCATCATCATCATCATCATCATCATCATCATCATCGTAATCATCGTCATCATCCTTATCATTATCATTATCATTATTATCTCTATTATTACTGTTTTTATTGATGGTATTATTATTATTATTATCATTATTATTATTATTATTATTATACTTATTATTAATATTATTATTATTATTATTATTAATTTATCATTATCATTTTTATTCTTCTTGTTATCATTATTATTATTACATAATCGTTATTGTATCAATTATTATTGTTGTTTTCTCGTAAGTACTGCCGTTATTTAGTGGTTTGTGGTTATTACTGTTTTAATTACCTCATATCATGCTTAATGCCAAGAGTAACACACACACACACACACACACACACACACACACACATATGTGTATATATATATATACACATATATATACATATATACTGCTTAGAGAATAAGGCTCAATAGGTGTACATAAGCTGAAAGAAATTGGTTTGCTTCCATATATGTATATATATATATATATATATATATATATATATATATATATATATATATATATATATATATATATATATATACATATGTATGTATATATATATGTATATATATATATATATATATATATATATATATATATATATATATATATTTATATATATATATATATTTATATATACATATGTATGTATATATATATGTATATATATATATATATATATATATATATATATATATATATATATATATATATATATATATGTATATATATTACCTAGAGAATAAGGCTCTACAGGTGTACATAAGCTGAAAATTTTGGTTCGCTTTCATGTATATAATATGATTTTCTCCATTTAATTTGCATGCCTGGGTCTTCTTTTTTATTCTCTTAGTTGTACAAAGTTGTGCATGTTCTAATGGGATCCTCTCTTTTAAATCACCTTCAGAGCAGGCCTCGCAAACGTCCTAGAAATTTCCTGGCTCTGAAGATGGAGAAGACGGTGAGTCGTGGTGGCGGCCAGCAGGGTGCGGTTGTTGTTGTAGTTTGTAGTTGTAGTTTGTAGTCCTAGTTGTAGTTACAGATTGTAGTTTGTAGTTGTAGTCCTAGTTGTAGATGTAGTCTGTAGTAGAAGTACCAGCTGTTTAGTAAATGCTACAGTTATAGTCGATGAGTTATTGATACAGTTTGTAGTAAAAGTAAGCTTTGTTGTAGATGTTATATTTGTCATTATTGAAGTTGTAGTGTTAGTAGAAGAAGTACCAGGCGATGTATTTCCGGTTGGGGAGCTGTACTGTAGTTGTAGAAGTACCAACTGTTCTAGTATTCATGGTAGAAGTAACATCTGTTGTAGCAGCTGCTGTTGCAATAATAAAAGAAGCATTGATAGATTTAAAGCTAGTTTGAGTGTCTAGGAGTTAAAATAGCATTGATATCGGGCATTGCAAATGAAGTGATAATTTTAAAGAGCAGCGATTGCACAGCCACGGATAAGTCACGTCGCGAACGAAGCTTCGAATTCTTGAACTGAAACAAGCAGGAATTCGAACCATGTTTGACAGGAGTTCCGGCCTCGACTGTCCTTGCTGCAGCCGAGGTATCAACTGCTGTATTAGTAATCGCAGATGTATCGATTTTTTTCCATCTTGAAGGAATCGATAACTTAATGAACAAATTTTGTCTTCATGTTGATGTAGATTAAGCGACAGAAAATAGAGTAAACATTGATAATGAACACGATAGTTATTTAATAGTACTAGCGCCATTGACAGTAGTTGTTGCATCGGTAGTGATAGCAGTGAAAAGTAACAGTGACGATAGTAGTAGTAATGGCAAAGGTTATTATATTTGTCATAATGGTAGTAGCAGAAGTAGCGACTATGGTAGATGTAGCAACAGAAGTAACAACAGCAGTAGCAACAGAAGTAAAAGTAGCAGTAGATAGAAGTAGCAATTATGATGATGATAATCCAGATAGCAGTGGTACAATAAAAAGTGACTGTAGTAATAACCCATGATTAGTGTTAGCCATCGCAGTAGCTGATGTAATGCTATGCTATAATACATAAGACACTGTAACCCAAGTTGTAAAGCCATCACTAACCCTGCCATAGTAACAGCACGATCCGCGAACAAAGAGAAAGAGATAAAGAAAACGAAAAAAAAAGAGAACAGAGAAAGAAAGGAAGCGAAGAAAGAAGGAAAGACAACCGCATGTGTTTGCATTCCGCTCCTCTGGGCCGCGAAGAGGGAGCCAAAAGTACTAATTTTTGTTAATTAATTTTGCAGTCAAGAGGATTGGCACTTTGCTGGATTTCTGCAGTTTGTGTGTCGCTGAGCATGAATCATATTTTTAGATGTGTATGATATTTCAGGGTCTTTATGTTATCTTACTTATTTTGTTTTTTATTTATTTCCATTTTCCTTTTTTGAATTGTAAGATAAGAGAGAGAGAGAGAGGAGAGAAATGATGCTGGGGCGCGTTAAGAATAATGAGTGTGTCGTCAGTTGTCCCTCTCTCTCTTCGTCTTAATCTGTTTCTTCTTTTTTCTCTTCTTTCTTTCTTCCTTCTTTCCTTTCTTCTTCTTCTTCTTCTTCTTCTTCTTCTTCTTCTTCTTCTTCTTCTTCTCCCTCCTCCTCCTCCTCCTCCTCTTTATCTTCTTCCTCCTCCTCCTCCTCCTCCTCCTCCTCCTCCTCCTCCTCCTCCTCCTCCTCCTCCTCCTCCTCCTCCTCTTCTTCTCCTCCTTCACCACCACCACGTCCTCCTCCCCCTCCTCCTCCTCCTCCTTCACCACCACCACCACCTCCTCCTCCTCCTCCTCCTTCGTCTTCTTCTACATCTTTCTCTTCTTTCTTCTTCAATCTTCCTTCTCCCCCCCCCCCCTCTCTCTCTCTCTCTCTCTCTCTCTCTCTCTCTCTCTCTCTCTCTCTCTCTCTCTCTCTCTCTCTCTCTCTCTCTCTCTCTCTCTCTCACTCACTCACTCTCTCTCACTCACTCTGCCTCTCTCCCTGTCTCTCTTTCTGTCTGTCTGTCTATCTGTCTATCTCTATCTGTCTGTCTGTCTGTCTGTCTGTCTGTCTCTCTCTCTCTCTCTCTCTCTCTCTCTCTCTCTCTCTCTCTCTCTCTCTCTCTCTCTCTCTCTCTCTCTCTCACTCACTCACTCTCTCTCACTCACTCTGCCTCTCTCCCTGTCTCTCTTTCTGTCTGTCTGTCTATCTGTCTATCTCTATCTGTCTGTCTGTCTGTCTGTCTGTCTGTCTCTCTCTCTCTCTCCTCTCTCTCTCTCTCTCTCTCTCTCTCTCTCTCTCTCTCTCTCTCTCTCCCGAGTTTATGGAGTGCCAACTTTCTATCGACTTTGGTGGTACGCTGCATCTGATTAAGATTTAATTTATACACAATCCTTCCTCACTCTTTAATCTCTCTCATCTTTCAGATCTTTCCTTGAAGGGAAGAACCGGACACATGTCGTAGACGCACATACACATGCACATGTACATGTCTAGGCACGCAGACATGGACACGGGTATAAACACACGCATAAACACACACACACTCACACACACACATACACACACATACACACACATGCACACACATACACACACATACACACACATACACACACATACATACACATACACACACACACACACACACACACACACACACACACACACACACACACACACACACACACACACACACACACACACACATATACACACACACACACAAGTAACTCGATCTGACGTAGAACAGCTTCCCCCCCTTAAGTAAACCATCCAATTCATTCACAGAATTAATCATGAGACATTGAGAACACAACCACAGAAAGCTTGAGGTTACGATGTCATGAGAAAGAGAGAGAGAGAGAGAGAGAGAGAGAGAGAGAGAGAGAGAGAGAGAGAGAGAGAGAGAGAGAGAGAGAGAGATAGACAGACAGACAGACAGACAGACAGACAGACAGACAGACAGAATGTGGGAAGGAAAAGACAGAGAGAAAGAGAAAATAAAACAAAACAAACAAACTAACACACTATATAATATACGTATGATATATAATATATTATATATATATAGTATATAGATATATATATATATATATATATTATAGATATTTTATATATACGTGACATAACAACATACATACAACATACATACATACCATACATACATACATACTATACATACATTGACTATATAATTTTTTAATTAAGATCATGATATAAATAGAAAATAAAACCAAAAAAACAAACAAACACCTAATACTAACTCGATATATAGTATATATATATATATATATATATATATATTATATATAGATATATATATTAGAGGATTGCAATTAATTAAGGCTAACTTCACACATCACCACAATTACAGCTCTTGCGGTAAACCAACGTGACCACCAACACTTTGGCCCTGTATATTTGGTGGTCTGCGAGAAGGGGGTAAGGGGGGGGGTGAGAACCTCAAAGATAACGGGGATTACACGCTTGGCATCCGGTAGGCCTGCTGGTACACTTTGACTAGATCGCCACTTTATAAATGGATAAATAGATGGGTAAATAGATTGATAAATGGATGAATTAAAAAGTAAGCAAATGAATAAGTATGTAAATAAATAAAAATGCGTGCAGTTTTGATAGGTGTCGAAATAACAAATGTGCCACTCCTTTCTTGAGTCTCTCTCTCTCTCTCTCTCTCTCTCTCTCTCTCTCTCTCTCTCTCTCTCTCTCTCTCTCTCTCGCTCTCTCTCTCTCTCTCTCTCTCTTTCTCTCTCTCTTGGTAATTCTTCTTTTCCTCGCCCCCCTTTTCTATTCCTCTTTCCCAGACTCATCCTTCTCTTGTTTTCTTCTTCCTCTTCTTCTTCTCTGCTCTTCCTCTCTCCTCTTCCTACTCTTCTACCACGTTCTCTTCATTCTTCTTTACCATCTTTTCCATGTCCTCCACGCCGCTCTTCCCTCCCCGTTTCCTCTTCTTCCCTGCCCTTCCCTACTCTATCTACCTTTCTTTATTTTTCAGCGAATTGTAAAAGTCACAGGACGCTGCAATATGTCGAAAAAATAGCGTTCTGTTCCCCATCGTCATTGTAAGTCACCCGTACTAATCTCTTAACCTATGATGTCATTATTAAGTATTGCCTGTGTGTTTGTGTAAGTTTCGAGCGCTGTGCATGTTTTACAGTTTGCTCTTTGTGTTATGGCTGCTTGTCGCGACAACGTTGTCACTTGGAACCAATTTATGTCGCTCTATTGATTATGCACGACTGTGTCACTTGCCATGCATCTTGATTGTGTATTGCGTCTGCAGAGCTTCTTGTCATGCCTTATGAAAATGTTTATTTGCAGGTCTTGATTTACTGAATATGAATATGATATGTATTTATATGTATATATATGTGTATATATACATGCATACATATATATATATATATATATATATATATATATATATATATATATATATATATATATACATATATATATATTTATTTATTTATCTGTGTATACGTGTGTGTGTAAGTGTATATATATATGTATATATATGTATATATATATTTATGTATGTATTTATATATGTATGTATGTATATATATTTATGTGTGTACGTATATATGCATTTCTTTCCCTCTGCTTTTGTTCTCTAACTTAAGCTATCCTCTTTCTTTTACAGTCTCATAATATATATGTTGTGGGTGTAGACGGATGACTTTATATTCAGAGATGTTTCAGAGGATTATTTTGTCTGCTGATATTTCAGACTCACCCATTTTTATCACCTATTTCCTTGCGCTCGTTGTGGTGCCAGTAGGCTGCCAATTCCGCTTCGAAGGAGAGCGATTTTCTTCTTAGTTACCAATTAATGGACACGCGAGGCTTCTCGTCCTCTCCTCCGGCGTAAATTTGGTGTATTTTCATAGTCACTTTATCCCGCCGCCTCGAGTCTCGCTCCCGTCTCATAAGTCAGCGAAGGTGAGCATCACTGCCTTTTACACGCCCGTGGGACACCCTGGCGCTTGGTTGTTGTTGTTTAGCGACAGCGGGAGTTCAGTCACCCTTCACGGCCGCCATCTTGGGCTGCCGGCGCCCCTCCCGTGCCGTCCTCTGTGTCCGAGCTGTCACAGGACACCGTCGGCGCCGTGTCCCTCTACGGTCCTTGCGCCTCTCGCCCGTCCGCTGGTTTTCTCTCTTTGAGACTGTTTCTGATTGTTTGCCTATCTGTTTGTTTGTCTCTAGGTCTCTCTCTCTCTCTCTCTCTCTCTCTCTCTCTCTCTCTCTCTCTCTCTCTCTCTCTCTCTCTCTCTCTCTCTCTCTCTCTCTCTCTCTCTCTCTCTCCCTCCCCCTCTCTCCCTCTCCCTCTCCCTCTCCCTCTTTCCTCCCTTCCTATCGCCCCTTTCAGTGTGAGGTCTTCCCCGATCTACGCCACAGCAAGGAGATGACTCACACTCAGGGTTTCACCTCGTTACTCGTGTTGTATTCAGGGCGTCACGCAAGGTCCGCCCTTGGGTCCTCCCTTTGCTGACGCACGACCAATGGAGGGGGGAGGAGGAGAAGGAGGGGGTGGTGGTGGAGAAGGAGGAGGAGGAGGAGGAGGAGGAGGAGGAGGAGGAGGAGGAGGAGGAGGAGGAGAAGAAAAAGGAGGAGGAGGAGGAGGAGGAGGAGGAGGAGGAGGAAGAAGAAGAAGAAGAAGAAGAAGAAGTCGTGCCGTGACCTCTGCTTTTGTGTGAGGTCGTAGTTATGGCAGTTCTTATGATGTGGTCGGGATGTTTCCTTGTCTTTTTTTGTTTCTTTCTTTTCTTTGTTTTTGTTCGTGTACATTCAGGTTCGTTGCCAATTAGCACTTGGCGGCGGGTTGCCTCATTCTGGCCGAGGCTCCGCGCATAATGCTCGCCTTCCCTCCGCTCCTTCGAGGCCCGTGGGCGAGGAGGAGGGCAGGTGAGGAGGCTCCTTCGAGGCTCTTGGGTCGTCTGGATCAGCTGGATTGGCTCGCGTGTCTATCGTTCCTTCCCTTTTCATCTCGTTTTTTCGTCTTCTACTTCTCCTCTCTCTCTCTCTCTCTCTCTCTCTCTCTCTCTCTCTCTCTCTCTCTCTCTCTCTCTCTCTCTCTCTCTCTCTCTCTCTCTCTCTCTCTCTCTCTCCTTCCCTCCCTCCCTCCCTGTCTCTCCTCCTCCTCGGATCTTCCGTCCCTCCCTCCCTCCTTATCTCTCTCTATCACCGCCCCTCCTCTTCCGTCCCTCCCCCTCCCTCCATCTTCACCCCCTTCCCCCCTCCTTCACCCCCTCCCTCACCCCCGCCTAACCGCGCCCGTCGTCTCCCGGCAGCGCGAGGACCTCCTCCGGAACGTGGACTGCAACGTGGACTGCCAGCACAAGTCGCGCAACCCGGTCTGCGGGACGAACGGCCGGACCTACGACTCGAGGTGCGACCTGGAGCGCGACATCTGCAAGAAGGTCAAGGTGCAGCTCAAGCATGACGGCGAGTGTTCAT